AAATTTTGAACCGATTGCATAACACCATAGGCTGTTCCCAACTGATGTTCGGGTATAATAAGAGCAACCATTGGCCAGAGAGCACAGGCCAACACCGAATACCCGATTCCCATTAAAACCATTCCAAGCCATGGGTTTATGAATGAAAAGGCAAGTAATGAATGAGCAAATAATGTGATGATCGCTGAGCTGAAGACCCACAGTATGTTACGACCCGTGAGATCAACCAAAAGTCCCAAGAATGGAGACAATACCGCAGATATTATGTATATAATACTATCGACAGCATTGGCCTCGTAGTGAGACATTCGGTATTTTCGCCGGAAAAATGTTCTGCAAATTAAATTACAAATTAACATAAAATGTGATTTAAAACAATTAAATAAAAATCATACAAACCCTCCCAACGCAGTGAATGGAAAGATAGACACATAATATGTGACACAAATAAGGCTTATTAACCAAAATGAAAGCTTAAAATGTTTGACATCAGTAATTTTGACCACATCTCCCGCCTGAACGACCGGACGCTTCAAAATCCTTTCGGCTCTCTTGTCATAGAAGGCGAGTACAAAAGCGCACAACAAGGAGAAGACACACGTGGCCGACGCTATCAGGAGTGTAATGCCAAGAGTCGTGTGGTCTTTCACGTGAGTTATATAATCTCCGACCGCGTTATAGATGGGAGCGATTGTATTGAAGTTAACAGTACTGCCGACGCGAGCGAAACTCAACTGAAGGCCAAAAACCATATTAATCTCTTTGTCCTTAAACCACGAGACGGCGTATGTATTCTGAGTGACGGCCAGTGATTCGCCGCCGATTCCAAAACTGTTCCCACATATAGATAGATATGTATTAGAGATGAATGAGTGGATTGTTCGGTAAAACTCACATAAATCGTCCCAAATTCATGAGCCAAAAACGGTTGGCAAACGCCCCGAAAGCGAACACCAATTGTCCAATCAGTATAAACACACTGAAAATGATTGCTCCCAAACGGATGCCAAACAAACGGTCGATCAAAAAGCCGCCGAAAAAGCAAAGTATGACATTAGGCCACGAATACCACGCGTAGAGTCCAGAGAATTGTGAGACACTTATATTCATATCATCAGTGATCTCGTCCTGAAGAGCTCCCGGACCGTCGTAACAGAAATAACTACCTTTTCGGCCAAATATACGCTCAATTAGTAATCACATTAACACTTGGTTATAGTTTGTGACATTTGTTTAGCGCATAAAAGGTTTAATGAATGGTAGGGATCGGGTATAGAGTTGGCCGAAGACATACCTTTTCGACCAAATATACGCTCAATTAGTAATCACATTAACACTTGGTTATAGTTTGTGACATTTGTTTAGCGCATAAAAGGTTTAATGAATAGTAGGGATCGGGTATAGAGTTGGCCGAAGACATACCGAAGCCTAAGAAACACATGAAGACGAGTACGAAATATCTGTGCAAAGCGTATGTCGGATGACAGAGAGGCCACGCCATACAACCCGTCTCCTCAATGGCCAACACATTGTCGTCCAATTCGTGTCCATTATGTCCGACATCTCTGACCAAAGGTCTGACGAGTTCGTCGTCTTCGTTATAAGAAGTGTCCGCTTCTTCGCGACCATTCATTTTGGGATCAATTCGTCAATTCTGGTGACACTATCGGCGACCGCAAGAAATGAATCAATTAATCAAACGATCATTTCATACGACAAGCGAAACGAATGTCAAATCTATGGACAAAAGTGATTAAAAAAGTCATAAATAATATCTTTGATTGGATGTGATATGTGTTGACAGATATATACCACTGATTAATGAAGTGATTGTCAAAAATGAAAGTTTGTTTGCGATTTGTTTGCAAAAGTTTTGTTTGCATTTAAAGTGCAGTCATTTCAGGGGATTATCATATGATATGCTCTATAGAGGTGTGAATAGAGGTGTCGACAGAAGAGTGCACTCAATGGTGAAGAGAGGCGTTGTTTTGACTCAAAAACCAAACACTCATTGACTGAATGAATGCAGTGTTGAGTCGGATATCAATTGATTTTCACATTGCAATCAATTGAATGAATTGAAACCGCATTTGCAGTCAATTGTTTGGTTACAGTCAGTCATACCATCACTACATTGAGTGCCATAACTATTAGTAAAACAGTCCATCAGTTTGTCGTCAAAGCCGTCAACAATGACTGTCTTAACTCAAGCGCTGAGCGAAAAGAAATTGCAAAAACAAAATGATATGAAAGAGCCGTTAGTCGACCCCTCGGCTCCTCAGGTATGACCACATTTGACCATCACTTCCAACACATCCACTCTTATCACTCACTTGTCTCCCATTATAACAATATTTACAGCTTATATACTGTTGTATTGATTGTCACCAATTGATATGCAATTGATTTTTGTCTCCCAATTGTACCGCAAATTGTCTTAATTTTGACTTAAGATTTGATTTATTTATAACTGATCTATGAATTGAATGTCTTGTAAAATGTGTGCAATACGTGACCACTGGTTGTCGTCACACTTGTTATCCATTTATAAGATATCAAATTGTCTTAATTTTGACTTAAGATTTGATTTATTTATAACTGATCTATGAATTGAATGTCTTGTAAAATGTGTGCAATACGTGACCACTGGTTGTCGTCACACTTGTTATCCATTTATAAGATATGATAACATCTTATACTGAATTTAGATTTGAATTTGTGGTGATTTAAATGCATTGAAGGACACAATCATAGCATTGAATCTGATTTGAAAGGAGTTTGCATTTAAATATCTAATGGTTTTATATGTCATATAAATAGTGTCCATAATTAGAGGCAAATGTATGAATAAAATGAGTGCAAAACGTATACATATTTAAGGAAACGTCGAGGAAATGATTGTTAAAATTTGACGACAATATTGTGTTTATCACATCTTTATATGAATTAGTGTTAAATTGTTATCTCTTTAATTCAATATTTGTTTAAACAGTAAACAGACTTAAAATCAGATACACTGTCGTTGTCATGAGATTTAATGCTAAATATACGTTGAATTAATCCCTGGTTTAACTTTATTTTTAAAAATTTAGATTCAATTTGATATTCAATTTGTTAATAATTAAAGTGTTAAAATTTTTGGCATCATTTATATGTTTAACATCAAAACAAACAGAAATTAATTATATTTATATTAAAATATTGACATAAATTATTGATACAATTGTATAACAATTGAATGAAATAGTAGTACAAGTTATGCGATCCAAAGTCCTTTAGTTTTTGATTTCACTGAATTTAGTTTCACATAATAATCGATATTCTGTTTGACAGTATATGTAGACAAGTATATCAATTACAGTACTCTCACAATCATATAGAAACCTATAAACCATAATATAAATAAATAAATAGTCGTGTATTTTTAAATATTGAAAATTAATTTTTTATATTCCACGCGAAGGTTGACATTGAAAGCGGAAGCACTGTTTCGTTGGCGAGCCTTCGGTCAAGAGCTCAACGAGTGAACAGTTTAACCACTCTTTGTGTCACATTAACTGCTCTGTTAGTGTTGACCACTGGTATTGTCGGCGGAATCTATTTGTATCGTCAGTTCGCCCAATACAGAGTGAGTGACCATTATATTTAGATTTGTGTTTACACGTGTAATGTTGCTCTTGAATTAAAAACAATTTGATGATTGTATAGTTGCGACACTTCAGAGGCTGGTGTAGTATCCCATATGTGGATCAATCGGGTCGTTATGAAGAGTTGCATCGATCCCTACCATCGGAACAGTTACTTACGTCTCAACAACACGATAGCATTAATCTCGAGAATATGATTAACGATTTGGCTAAAGAAATGCGCCAATCAATGGGCGAGCAGTTGGAAGCGGCCGATTCCAAGTATTTCGATGAAGAGTTTGATATAGACGTGGAGTTTGAACAATACGAACGAATAGAAGTCCCAAACTTTTCTCATGGAAGAAGAGGACGATTTGTTCACGACTTTGCAAAGGTATTCACTGAACTATATTTTTATATTGCATTAAATTAGTGTCTAATATAATTGATGCCAATTATCAGAATATGACGGGAATCATAGATGTAGACGACGGCCGGTGTTTTGTTTTGCCGCTTAACCGAAGTCAAGTACTTCCGCCGCAATCGCTGTTTGATTTGGTGGTTAAGATGAGAACCGGTTATTACGATGTGGACACACAGATTGTGCGGGACATGTATCGTGTGGTGACGCCTCCCATATCAGACTTCAAGAGTTTAGGCTATTATATTGGCCGCGAGTGTGCGAAACTGCCCACATATCGATTGGAAAGGATGACATCGCCTGGTAATCATCAATCAATTACTAATCAATACTTTATATTCTGTTAACATTTATTAAATTATTGATTTGTTTTCAGTGTTTAAGCGAAGCATTGATCAGTCGTCTGAACAATTGGTTGTGTTCTCTGAGTTCGCCGGCCTTGGAATACATGAGTTCCAGATCGTGAACCTTCAGGACGCGAAGGGAATCAAATGAGTGCTTCACTCGCTTGTGTTATCTCTTTTTATTGATTGGATTTAACGGTTAATTGTTTTTCAGTGATCACTCAACTAATTGTATATTTTGTTCTCATGTTTTTGAGTCATTGATCTTAACTAATGTTAGCCAAAGCGTTATTTTTAATGACATCCTATATATAGTGAACTCTATATAACCAAATGCTGTAATTTATATTTAAAAAAGTACTTTAATATCACTTCTTGTATTGTAAACAAACACTTCTGAGATTTAGTCACCGATTGGTGTGATATAATAATTATGACTTTAATTTTGCCCTAATTTTCGGTTTCTCTTCAAACTATATATCAAATATATAACAAAAATTAGAGATTTTTTGGTACATTTGAATGAATTTAGATTCTAATATAAAATCCATATTACAGTTATGGATATTTGTTGCGAGAATTGTTAGTCGTTTTATCTTAGGTTTAGACACTTAATGTATCACTTTGTCTGGATTGGAGCCATAATACCCTAATAATGTAATATTTATTTTGAAAATATGATATATCTCTGATTCATGAGAAACCTGTGCTTGAGATGAGACCAGTTCTCCAGACGAGTCAACAACCGATTGCAACGCTTTCGCATGTCTAACAGTCAATTGAATCAATAGTTTTGTAATTGTTTTAAAAACACTGCAATTATAAAAATTCTTACGAAATTCTTTCTTTGTATTGTTTCCGTTGTTTAGAAGACATATTAAGAAAGCCATTGTTATTGGAATCGCTCAAAAACAAAATTATTATACAAATGATGCACACTTTGGATTAAAATATATCAATCAATTCATTAATTTATAAATTAAAGACAATTAAAACTACAATAAAACTCACAGCAAAGCCAACACAAAAAGAAGATTTCTAATACAATATATCCTTTTTCATCGACTATATATCCGGCTAAGAGTACAATACAGGCTAATCCTAAATTTTGAACCGATTGCATAACACCATAGGCTGTTCCCAACTGATGTTCGGGTATAATAAGAGCAACCATTGGCCAGAGAGCACAGGCCAACACCGAATACCCGATTCCCATTAAAACCATTCCAA